CAGATTGGGGGAATTGTACCACATTGTGTCACTTTCTCAATACTGGATAAAGTATACATGTAACCTACAGCAAGTGAATATCAAGTACAACATGAACACATTATGGACATCTCAATCAGCACTGAAACATTACTGGTACATACCAAGTGTGGAAGTCATCAAGACTTATTTTAGTCAAACAATAATCGGTGCTCCAGTTTACCTCAAGACAGAGAGGAAACTCTATAGCTCTAGAAACTATTTGACAAATAACAAAGTGAAGATGAAGCCATAGTTCAAAGTATGATGATATTCAATGCTACTGGAATCACAGTTCTTTGAGGAGAATTACCTTCTGCATTAATCTGCAAACTTAATTGTGTTTCAACAATTAATGAGTACTGAACTGATTCCACAAGACATTTGTCTCCTTAAACTTTGAGATCACTCTGAGGGACATAAAATCTATAGTCAGTAATTAGCAGATTAACAACCATATAAAAGCTACTGTTGACAAAAAAACATGATCTTGATGATTAACAATATTCAATAGAGTATTTGGATGACATTATATGCTGTAACTATTTTATTGCTGTTATCCTTCTCTCTCTATGAAGAATAGAAATGTCCAGATTTAAAAAAAAAACATATTTTATAGTACATGCCAAATTACATGTCAAAAAAATTGTGATTGGTATACAAAGTGACCAATCATGTTAATGTTGGTACATGTAGCAAATTGAAATTTGGTTTTGCAAGCAAGAGCCTAATCCACGGCACATCTTAAATGAAGTATTCTCAAAAAGAAAGTCACAACTGTGCAGTTAGTTTTCGTACTTTTGTGTACAAAACTAGTTTTATAAGTTCAAATGAAAAATTTAAACATATTTTGCTATAAAATAGTTGTGTGATTTATTGGATGACAGTCACCAGTATCAGTTCATTTTCAGCTCAGTAGTTGGAGTGTGATTTTTGTTTTACTGAGAAATTCACGTATGACATTCAAAATGGAGACAAATTTTTAAATACAAGTCTTGGCTTCTGATTAAATGGATAAATTATAGCGGTGAAGTTTGTGCACAATGACTTAAAATATGCACAGTGACGAGTACCCACCATCTGGGAAATTGGTCTAAAAATTGACTGCTTGTCTCGTAGTGTAATTATTGAGACCTACCCATTGAGACAGTGTGAGAAATGCAGACTGCAGACTGGTGTTAATAATAGCCTCAATAACATTTTGGTTAGCGTTAGAACACTCCCGTCGGTAGTGGTCCTTGAAAGTCTTCTGGTCTGTAGTCTACATTTGTCGTTGGTTATTCTGCACAGAAGCCACTCACTGTACAAATCAGACACAGTATGGCCGGCAGCACATTCACTAACAAGCAAATCAATACGTAACAAAGAAAATAGAGAAATTTGAGTTATCTTGGTTTATTCCTTGTTATTACATCCATCTCATAGGCTCTGTGGGTGAAGGTCCAAAAAGCTGAAATTAATGAAATTTACAACTTTGTTTACTCGACGAATTGGCCTCCTGTAAATATTTTCATAAAGTCAGTTTGCTGTTGGAATCTTCTTTTTGGTTTAGCACCAAAATGGTCAAAATCCATGGCATGGTTTGTAACTCGTCTCAAATATTTAAAAATTGTTTGCTCCACAGAAGATTTCCACAGAAGGGTGTCGTACGCTTTGTTTGCATCCGCAATTCTTTCTATCGAGTAGATTTGAAATGTTTTATTCCCTTTGAAGCAGTCAGAAAAGATGTCAAAAAAGTTAAAAAACTGTGGTGGACGACTTGTCTATCGCCGCAGGAGCGAGAAGAGATCCACAAAATTTTGACAAATCGCCAAACAACATTTTTGGTGAGTGGGGAATAACTGCTGATTGTGATGATTGTTATAATGTGAAAGTCAATGTATTCTATGGTTGGGAATCCGGTTGGGAATGGACCAGGCGATTGCACAATGATGGTGCAACAGTTTACCCTGTTCTCACACCTAATAACAGCTGGTTGTTTACCACACAATCAATGTGGCTTCCATTTAATGTTTTCCAATAACAAAAAGCAGGCCATGCGGTGGGAAAACAAATATGATGTAATGATAAATGATAAATGATAGTGCAACATTATTAGCATTAGAAAAGAATGAAAATGTTGTCGTAACTCTGAACATAATGATAATAAGAATGATGATGATAAGAATAATAATGATAATAGTGATAATACGCACCACTTAAACACTATACATTACACTTAAACACTACACTGTCCTTAAGCACTATGCTGTATTAAACACTATGTTGTATTCTTACTTTTTCAAGATCAACAGAAGTGCTCAAATTCGTTATTACCATCTAGCCATTAGGGGACAATGGCTATTTTACTTTTCACTAAGGTGAAGGAATATGGTGTATGTATCTTTCCACATTTGAAATGCTGTGCTTGTAGGTAAAGACCAAGTGTCAGTTGGTATTGTTGCCCTGGATTCGCAGCATAGGTCGTCACAAAGTGCTAAGTCAGTTTTTCCACTGGCGATAGCTAACTGTAAAGAAAAAAGGTTAGTTGAATACTGACTTGGATTGTTTATGGACAAGCTATGGTGTACTGTTGTTTCCTGTCCAGTGTGCTAAATAGCTGCTGTCAACCTGTTGATTTCATTACATCATTTAGGTATATAGCCATACAAATTTGGTTGAACCTCTAGTTTTCAAAAATTACAGCAATTTATTATTGTAATGTTTATTTTCACTTGTTGTTTTGAAGGGATGATCTTAAGAGGCTATTTGTTAATCTAAACCAAGCAGAAGATGACCTGAAGAAAAATGGTATCCATGTAGATGGCAAGCACTATCGTATAAGATTCAAAGGTTGAAAAGTTTGTGGTGTTTTGCTTGTTTAGTTTAATATTGACATGGTGCTCTAAAACTCCTAAGTATGATTTGAAAAGCGCAACAGATCACCAGGTGGCATGCCCGTGATTCTGCGAGTTAGAGTGCCATGGCATTTTTAAACCACTCTGTAGACGTAGTCAGGTTTTGTGGTACCCAGGTCCAGTGTTGATATTGCCATGGTGCTCTAAAACTCCTAAGTGTGATTTGAAAAACAACAGATCACTAGGTGGCATGCACGTGATTCTGTGAGTTAGAGTGCCATGGCATTATTAAACCACTCTGTAGACATAGTCAGGTTTTGTGGTATCTTACCCAGGTCTAGTATTAATATTGCCATGGTGCTCTAAAACTCCTAAGTGTGATTTGAAAAGCACAGCAGATCACTAGGTGGCACGCCCGTGATTCTGTGAGTTAGAGTGCCATGGCATTATTAAACCCCTCTGTAGACGTAGTCAGGTTTTGTGGTATCTTTTACCTAGTGAACATTAATTTTTTTGTATAATTAAGGCTGTAATTGCTAATTCACTCCAGTCCTTTTCTTTGTTTATGTTTGTATAGTAACTCTTGATTACAAAGGTTTGCTACTTCTAATGGCTAAGATTGGGGATGAGCACTTTGTTCTTGGTGGACATGGACTTGCTATTGAGTTTTGCATTTTCTGTTTGGCTTTGAGGGTAAGTTTTTTAGGCTACCACCTTACGTTGGCTTAAAAAAATGTAAGTGTAACAACCCTAAGGGCACACATTAAACTACAGCCAGTGGTACCATTAACAGTTGTGTATAAGCTGCACTAATAGATAAGCTACTCAACATGCCATATCAAGAGGTATACAGTACATGTAGTTTTGGTTTTTACCTTCCTCCACTGTGTCTTGGAAAATCATTTTGAACTCAGATAAACTTTGGTTTTTCTTGGAGGTTAATCTGTTGATATTTTCCTCAAAGATATTGCACATGTGAAAATGAGCTTGGTGTTCAAATACCTAGGTACATCTTTTTTTTATGATGAAAGATTCAAAGGTGAGGTATTTTACTTTCTTTATGTGATATTTTTTCCCTCAGGCCTGTGATTGTGATTTGGGGAGACATGAGGTTTGTTTGGAGCACCTCCTTCAAACCAAAGCTAACATTGGAGGGTATGTAGTATTCAATGTTGCAAGGCTACATGATTGTTTTGATTTTATCAGTTTAGTCCAGTTGCAATCAACAAGTTTATTTTGATGTAGCAGCAGATCTTTTTTTAATTCCTGTGAGTCACTTGGTTGAATTTTAGCATGGCAAATATTGAAGGAAAGTCTGGATATTGTCCATACTACATGTATAAGGTAGCACATCAAAATAATGATATGGCATATAACCAAGAGGTTTCAATGTGAAACATCATGCCACTGGCACTGATTAGTTGGTCAAAACCAAATGATACCCTATGCTGTTAAGATCTTGGTTATTGTACTTTTCAGATTTAAAGGTTTGCGAGATGACTTATTGTGCATACTTGATGAAGAACTATCCTCGATGTGCCTTTGTGCTCTTCACTGCGAAATGCGGAACACTGAGCAGCTATTAAAGAGTGTGGGTTTACTTGCTTATGAGATAGGTTCTCTCAAACAGTGTAAGGAGGAGTTATCCAAATTTGGTCCAGAGAACTTCCACTCAGATCGGATCACTGTGAAATTAAAACCTGGACAACAAACAGCTCTGGGTAGAAACAATGTTTCTGTTTCTTCGTTTTCAGGTAATTGTTATATATCATTCTGTTTTCAATTGTGCTAGCCATGATGATCATGATGATCATGATGATCATGATGATCATGATGATCATGATGATTAAGCATCAATGATTCCAAAACCTTCAATAAGAGATTTTAGAAATCATTGTACAGCCAAATGAATGCACCCTAAATGATGGGGGTGGGGGGCAACTTCACATGCACTAAGTCTGTACACTTACAATTTTTTAATTGATTTCTTAAGGTTCCACTGAACGTAAAATCCTCTCAGCAATGGAAAAGATAGTTGAAGTGTCCCTGCCTAATGAAAAGCTAGCAGTTCATTATCAAGACCCAGAGGCAGCCAAAATGTGTATCCTCAATAAAATCTCTTTCTGTGAAGCACGTCAAAAGGTATTGCTTCTCTCTGGACTTGGAATGTATAGTATTTGTTTTCAGTTGTACTAGTTCTGCATCTCATAATCTACAAACCACAAAAGAATCTTCGGGGCGGCTATTTTGGTGTCGCTTACAGACAAAAAAATCTCGATTCATTTTGCCAACACACACAATGAGCCAAAATTCAATAATCTTATCAAAATTTAATTTTGGATGTCTTCTCCTTCTTCGAATGTAATTATGCTGCACTGCCACTGTCTGTTTTTGAGCAGACTATCCAAAATGTTTGCTGTCTTGTGACATCTCATACAGTGTACATTCATTGTATTTCATAACAGTCAGTCTTGGTATGATTAAACCCATCAGGATAAATGATCCATGAAAATTAATGTTGAACTTTGATTCTTTGGATCTTAAATTGTGATATACTGTATATCTGTAGGTCTCCTTGTGGAGAATAATAGTGCTTCAAACTCAAGATGGAGTATGCATTTTGCAAACAAAAGTGTTCATTTTGTATTTTACCTGCACTCTAAAATACAAAACTACTCATAGTGCATGCTACATGTATATTAATTTAATTTGTCAGTGGATATAATGCAAAAGCTTAGATTGTCTTGTTTTCTTGGTAGTACTACAGGGAAATGTTTAAAAGTGGGATTTTTGTCTGTGACTTTGGCAAAAGACTAGAAGAGGTCAAGTTGCAAAATTCAGGTATAATATGATGTTTGTTTAACTTATCAAAGTCAGCTTGATGGAGGCAACAGCTTCTAATTCTTTTATTTCAGGTCCTAACAGAAACTTCTGTGGTTGATTACAGCATGTTAATTGGTTGGCTGAAAAGGTTTCAACATTGTTAATGATTTTTGGTTAATTTTTGGTGTCTGTATAGATGTCAGTATGGAGTTGCAGAATCGCATAGATTTCTGGAAGCAAAAACAAGAGGACATTGAAAGTCAGTTTAAAGTTCTTTATCAACCCATTCAGACAGTTAAGGCCAGAAAGGGAAGGAAACCTCAGAAGGAGGAAAATCGGGAGCTGAGTTGCTATGCTGGCACACTAACGAAGGAATTTCTAACAATGGTGAGGTTTACTTTCATGCTTGTTGGATGTGTGACTGGTTGTACCCAACTTTGCGCTACACACCTTGTTGGTTACTCACCATCTCCTATCCAACGTGCGCCAATTTAATTCTAATTCTTTTTCAACACTGTTTATTTATGAATTTTGCAATGATTTGGCTTGCTTAATTCTCGGATAGAAAGAGGGGTTGTTATGTGCCTATTCATTGACCAAACAGACTTTCAATTAACCATCATGTGTCACTTTTGACTTTCTTAGGTTTGCTCCCTTTGGAAGGAAATTGCTCTAATAATGAGAGACAGAGAATTTAAAGCAAATGAGGAACACTTGATCGACATTTTTGACGTCAAGGTTGGAGCACTTTAATGGAACTTATTATCCTTTAGAGCTTTCTTTTAGTGTGGCATCAGCTTGTTTGGAGTCGTAATGATTTGTGTTTGAAACTGGTTTAACATTCTTTATACATGTACATGAACACTAGTACAATATTTCCCATAGAAATGTGTTACTTGCATTACCAGTGTCATGTTGGTGGAAGACAGTCAATACAAATAATGCAAATAAAAAAAAATTGTTATGATGAGTTTTAACTTGAAAATGTCAATCTTTTCTAGTGCGAAAAGTGGGGTTTCCTCCTCCTGGAGATGTTTGGGAGCAGTCTAGGAACAGGTGATTATGGCCACCTAACGGTAGAACATGTTCCAATGCTTTTTAGAGTGCATCGCTCTCTTCATCACCTATCCAACCAGGGATTTGAAGCGGCTCACAAATTACAGCGACAGCTGTATGCCAGAGCAACGTCACATGATTCATCAGGCAACACTGCATCATGTAAGTTTATTTCAATTTGTACTGGGGTGTTCCAAACTTGATACTCAAAAGAGGCTAAAATAAATACTTGTAAGTGTTGTTGGTTTTTTCTATATTTTCCATCATGATGATAACAGCACTCACAGATACACCTGTATCTAGCATGTTTCTTGGTGATTACTGTTTTGACCTTAAGAACCACAAATCAGAGAATATATTAATAATTTAGAATCAGAATGAGTCGAATTCAGTCATAGACTGGAATATCTTTGTCATTAGTAAACTTAAACTGCAGGGTAATAGGGTAGTAAATCAGGTAGATGGTGATTTAAGCCAGTTGAGATTCACCTTCATAGAGTAAATTGTGCATAATTAATTGCCAGAACATATAAACCAAAAAATTCCCCAAACTAAATTGTTGTATTAATTAAGTCTTAAATGTACATAATCTATTTCAGTGGATCAAATCCTCACACACCTCTATACAGAGATGCTGCTCGACATGAGACTAGCTTTCAAAGAGGCTAAAGGCTGCATTGCTACAGGTATTTATACCTTTTGTTGGTTCCTTTGTGGTGAATATAATTTGCTTCCAATTTGTTACAAATTTCCAATTTCCAATTTGTAACATCTTGATACTATCCCTGTTATATGTCATTTGCAACAGTGCTGCTGGCAGACTGAGCTTCAGATATTGCCAAAGTCCAGCCACATGGCAAACTCTTCTTTAGAATACTTGAACAATTTTACACCATCCTCTGCAGGTTTCATTTTACACTTACCCTCTCTAGATAGTGTGTCTAAAATTGAACGCTGCTTTATACTGATGAAGCATTGAGTACTTGAAATGAAAATTCCTGCACAAAAACGAAATTTTCCTGTTGCATGGAATTTTTGTTCATGAAAGTGAAGATTTATGTTCTGCCAATGAAAAGTGAAGAGTGTTGAATAAAATAATAGTTATATGAAATACAAAAATGCAATTATTCAGACACACCTCACAGGCCTCTTGTATGGCTTTTTTTGTTTTAGGAAAGCCCTTCTACTATCGAGGATGTGGATGGAGGCCCAAAAGGATGACCTGGTCAGGGGAAGAACAAGCATGGATTGGAAGGATAGATCAACTGCTGTCTGATTTATTTGGTCCAGACTACTGTAATTATGAATACACAGAGAAAAAGCACTGTGTCCTGGTTCCAGGTCAATTCCCACTCATGAAGTATGATCATGGCGAGTGGGAAAAGTCATACTATTTTAGTGTTAATAGTGACAGAAAACCTTGTGTCGACCATGCTTGTAAACCTGGAAATGATTTTGATGACAGCAATCCTGACTGCCAACCAATCAGCAACCCTGTCAGCAATCATGCCTGTAGCCCTGTTAGCAATCCTGACTGCAAACCAAGCAGCACTCCTGACACCAGACCTTCCAGCAACCCTGTCAGCAATCCTGACTGCAAACCAA